GAGACGAACGGGTGTTTGGCAGCGTTCGTGTAGCTCTGGGGGCGGCAGCGTCCGAGCGCTGCGCAATGCGTGGTGCCTTTACTGTCGCTTTTTAAAAATCATGTATTTGTTGCTGCTCCTCGCCCTTGTACAACTCGGCAATCCGCTCTGTCCAGGACAGCAGTCTGTAGCACAGGACATGGCTGTCCCCAGGCTTTGGCACCAAAGGCTGACAAATGAGCAGGGCTGAGTGCAGCAGGAGGGGGTACCCCCTGCCCAGACGCGTTGGACGAGGGGAGGTGGACAGGTGTAGAAGCACTCTCTCTGCCTCTCCTGCTGCAGGTGTGCTTCATCGGCCGAAGCAACGTGGGGAAATCATCTTTGATCCGGGCCCTGTTTTCACTGTCTCCAGAAGTGGAGGTCAGAGTGTCAAAAACTCCGGTAAGTGGCGTTTTTCACTTCCCTGCCTCTTGGTGGAAGCTGGTGCCAAGCCAGAGGATAGGGCCGAGAAAGGCGGGAGGAGACAAGCTCTTGGGCAACTTGAAGCGGCAGGAGAACGTGTCAGCCGCGGTGGCTGCCAGCTCACGGCTGGCGCAGGCCTTGCTCTGGCAAAGGAGAAGGTGGAAGGAGCCCAGCTTAGCTCTTCAGCCAGGGCTGGCACGTGTGCCAGACCGAAGCCTTGCACAAGCTGAGCAGTCGTGCCGTAAAGCCCTTTGGGAAGAACCAAGCAGAGAGACCCGTGAAGGTATTTTCAGTCTGTTTTAAGGATGGAGCCACACAGGACTGCTACATGGGTACGGCAGCTTAAAGCAACAGTAGCGTTTTTGCAGCCTTCTCGGGGGGGGGGCAGGGGGCAGGGTACAGAGATGTTTTGTGGGGCATCTCCTAATCCACTGCTTAAAGCAACTTTTTAAAACCACCCCTTCCTTCATCCTACCTAAATCCTCTCCCCAGGGCCACACCAAGAAGATGAACTTCTTCAAAGTAGGGAAGTACTTTACTCTGGTGGATATGCCGGGATATGGCTACCGTGCCCCACAAGACTTCGTGGAGATGGTGGAGGCCTATCTGCAGGAACGGCACAAGTAAGGGACTTAACTGTACCTCCACAGAGCAATGAAAGCCAGACACCTATATACAGTGTCATCTAATTAGATGAAAAAATGCAGGAGGGGTAGCTACTTCCAGTGGTAGTATTGATTAGTTCTGACGTCGTTTCTCTGGGAACCTCTGGTGTCACTCATTCATGCTTAGACAGATCAAAACAGCAGAAAAGATTGAGGTGCTGCTCCATGCTGACCCTCAGCGCCCACGCACGGCTTTTCTTGGCTTTTCCTATCCCCAGATCCCGTGTTACTCATTCTTGCTTATGAATTTGGAAGTAGCAGAGCAGGCACGAAATAATGGCGGTGATTACTGTTGCTTGTATTTCTGGCAGCTTGAAGAGGACTTTTCTATTAGTTGATGGTGTAGTAGGACTCCAGAAAACAGATCATATTGCAGTAGAGATGCTGGAAGAGTTTGGGATTCCTTATGTGGTAGGTATTGCTTTGTTCTTGTGTTGGTGATAAGGTACAGGTAATCTATAAAGGTGGGTGCCCTCTACCTGAGCTTATGCAAGTTGTCCTACCTAAGTTGTAAGCCCCCCCCCTTTATTGTTAGTAAAATAGGCCTAAAATGTGTTGAGGGGGACAATGGGGATTTAAGGGATTTTTTGCTTGATTTATTAAATGGACACTTTTTTTTCAGTGCTCAGCTTGAGGAGCTTGAAAAGGTCCGCTCCTTATGCAGGCTATAGAAGTGTTTTGGTGAACTGTATTGTACCATTTTTCCCCCAGAGAAAGATATGACCCAGAGCTTTCAGCCTGCCTTGCAGGATGGTCCAGGACTCTCACAGATGTTCCAGCCTAGCAGCAAAATAATCTTCTTTTCCTCTTTTAATCCTCCTTTTCTGGATCCATGCAGATGGTGTTAACAAAAATTGACCGAGCTTCCAGGGGACTGTTGTTAAAGAACGTACTGGAGATCCAGGAGTTTGTAAAGGAGAAAACTCAGGGATGCTTTCCTCAGCTGTTCCTGGTCAGGTAAAGCTCTTCTCCATTGCTGCCGTTCCCTTTCCGGTGACGATTTGCAATAGGGCAAACTACCTGAAATGGGTCTGTCTGCTCTAGAGGTGGCACTTCCCTGTGCCCCGAGGCTGGAGGGTGGGCTGCTGATGGGAATACGCCCCTTTCCTTCTTCCCCCTCCTCTGCGAGTGAGTGGAGTTCGGTTTTCAAGGCTGCTCTTCCTTCGGCCTTTCTCCGAGGGGGGCAGCAGTCCCTGCGCTGCATGCTAGCGGGCTTTGCCATTTTCTTTGGAGTTGTGTTAACGGTAGCAAGCTGCAATTGTTCGATTACGTAGCTGAAGTGCTTGATGTGCCAAGGTTGTACTGCACTTGCGGGAGATGTCATTTAACACAGCCAGTGGCTGAGTTTGCTTGTATTACTCCAAGACACAGCAGCATCTGGCACTGAACACCCACGCCTTTGTTCCCACAGTTCTCTGGAGTTTTCGGGGGTTCACTTGCTAAGGTGTTTTGTAGCCCATGTTACTGGAAACCTGCCTACTGTAGAGGCCAGCTGAAAAGACTGGCTCCCGATCTGCTCGGCTCATCCAGAACAAAAGGTACCAAAACTAGAGGTCTGGATTTTTGTTGTAAATAACCCCAGGTACTAGAATTTATTTTTGGATAAATTTTTGGATAGATTAATATTTGTAAGGCTAAGCTTTTTGTTTAATAAATTCATCAGTTTTAGAAGTTTGCACTATGAATGAATCCAGGTTATCACAAAACCGTTTTATAAAACCTACATGATTGTGCTAAGGAGAAAAAAGCAAAGAGAACCTCCAAAGAGAAGCTAAGTTTTAATACAGCATTGCCTCTCCCTCCAGCCAGATGTTCAAAAAGCTACCACTGCATGCCTAAGCTCTGCTACATTTAGGACACTAGAGATAGTCTAGTAATCTCAGTAATAAAAAGGCATTTAATTTAGAAAAGAAAAATATAGCCCTAACATTAATCAAACTGTACTCACCCAGTTGACTTGAATGATGCACGGAGGTTTACTTCTCTCAGCTTATATAGCAGGGGCCAAAAACTAGCACCTGTGCACCCTGCCTGCTCTGAGGCGATCTAAAGTAGAAATAGCCAGCATGGTGCCTGTGGAGGTGTGTTTAGGACTTCTTGCATATTTTACTCTTGTAACTCCTCTGCATCGTGCGTTCAATAGGTGCAGCATGGTAGCATACCTTGCCTGCAGGCATCGAGTTGTCCCTCTTCCAGGTGGATGAAGGAAAGCACTCATCTTTAATGGCGATCTGCTTTTTGATCACTGTTGGCTTGAAACGGAGTGGAATAAATGACTGACACCTAGGGGAACTCTCTCCTTCTGCACTTTATCATCCGTCAGTACTGCATCTACCTTCTGTTTTAAATCCAGCATGAAGTTCTGCAGCTGCACTCGGATGAATTGCCAGAGATGAGACACATTGTCTGTTACCTGCATCTGTTCTACCCTGGCAGCTGGAGCACAATACTGATGTCCCGTACTCTTTAGGGGCACTGCAATAGCTGGCAGAACTGTGTCCCACAGCAGCTAAGAGCACCTGAAGTTGGCTTGTTACAAGGCACAGGATTGGAAAAAAAAGGACTGCCATCAATAGCAGTGGCTGTTACAAGAGAATTTAGACCGAAGCTGTTAAGTGCCTGTGTCAAACTCTGGCACTCAGTCTCGTCGTGTCTTAACATTGCCAGATGGGCGTATGCAGTTGTCAAAGTTACTTACTTACGTTAAGTGTTTAAACCTCAAGAGAGGGTAGGTCTTTTGTGAACCATACTGAGGTATTTCTAGTGTTTTGTTTCTTTATCGAATTTGTCATAACTTTCAGACTAGACCTGAGGAGAGGTCTGTTTTCAGCATACATCTAAGAAAGGGGGCCGGGGGGGAATGGCATAGAAAGATGTGGAACTCTAGTTTCCACATCTTAGCAGAGATCAAACCTGTAATTCTCTAGTATTTTACCTCTAATCCCAAAGTGCTCCAGAGTGAACCAGCCCACAGGATGCGTATTCCTAGGGGGATGTGCAGTAATATCTAGGCAGATGGAACAGGTGCAAGCGAACACTTTGGGAATAATATTTTTCTTAGTATCTTAAAACCAGGATCTTCCAAAAGCATCTGTCTTGAAGGCTGTCATTTTCAAGGCCTCAGCCTTGACTGAAGAGCCTCTGAAAATAAGTCTGTATATGTAGAAGAGTGCAGTTCCCTTTTTTAGTCCCTCTTCAGAACAAAACACCTTACAGTGCTAGGAAGTCTTTTATTGACCACTTAAATACATTAAGTATGTCTGGTAAATCCATTTGTATAAAAAGTGCTTTGAAATGGCAGCAGACTGGGAATTGGACCCCATGATCCTTGTGGGTGTGTATAGTTGCCATGAGGTGTCCTTAGTGGAAGCCACATGGAGCTAGGTGACAGAGTTTCCTACAGCTGTACTAGAAACAGTAGGTACGGTCTTATCCTGAAGAACAAGCTTTACCTCTGGACACATCTGGGTTTTCTGCTGTATTGGTCAAAAGATCTTCATTCACAAATGCTTCAAATACTGGAATAACTAACTTGCATTTTCCTCAGCCATCTGCAGGAGGGAACACCACAGTTGTTACATGCAAGAATCAATGCCCCTGTGACAATTAAGGTAGTAAATAAAATCAAGTCCTCTCCTTCACTTAAACATTAAAACTTACATTCAGGTGCCTTCATGGGAACATGCTTCGGGTAAACAGGCGTCTGACGCACTAGCAGACTTTCTTGCCAAGTTCTTAAGGAACATGCTGTGTTGCTGAGTGAGGAACTGCACTGTCTCAGGCCGGGGACACAAAAGCTCTCCCTGTCTTTTTCCCTGCTCATTGATCAATGGTGGGCCTGGTAGCATACTGAAGTAGTAGAGATCATTTCAGTTTTAAATGCTTTTGATGTCTTAAGTTGTTTGCAGTGTATACACCACACGGCAGGCACCCAGCATTATCTTGTAAAGCTTTGCCTCTTCTGCACCTGTCATTTACAGAAGTGATGTTGAATACAGGCTTCTATGGAAGAGGATTTCGCCTTGTGCATCTTTCCCGTCTTTCAGCAGTACTTTCTCCTTTTTCTTCCTCTACTGTGTCTGCTCTAGTCTGTCACCATAATCCTGGCACTACAAAGCCAGTATTTTGACCGTATTCTTGCAACAGTCCCCTAGAGTCACTATAGTGTAGAATGCATTTTAGTAGGGACCTTGACCAGATGCTATGTCAATAATTCTGTTAGTATTAATGAAGTAACCTAAACGGGTTTCTTGGGTTATTTTAAAAAGCAGAGGGGGCAGGGTTTAGCAGGTAGACATTTCAGATTTAGCCTCTCTGAGGCATTTACACAGAGAGGCAACATGCACTAAGGCAGAAAGAGCTCTGGTTTACTGTCACTTTGAAGGTTGTTTCGGTGTTGCCTTCTTTCACTCTTTCTCTTGTCTAAAGTCTTGCTCCTTGGGCTCAGCATTGTTTTCAGACTCTGCTCAGAACTAGGATGTATTGCGGTAGAAGCTCTCTGGTACAGTATGAAACAAATTTTGGATGCCAGACAGAACATGCCAAGTGTTGAATGCAGGAAATTCATTCCGCATTAAGTAGGGTGGCTGCCCGTGAGAAGCAAGATACTGCTACCTCAACTATCAAAATTCCTGGCAAAGGAGGAAACAGAAATTTTAGCAGCAGCTAATGTTTCCAGTCTGTATCACTGGCTAATCCTACTTATGCTTGAGATTACTTTTAGTACCTGCTTATCCCAGCTACAACATGATGCTGTATTTTACAGAGAAATTGTAGCTGTTTCTGTGCAAGCAGGGACAAACCCAGGGAGACATACAGCTTCTTACCTCGCTCTCCTGCTTAAGTGTTTTGGAAACAGAGTAAGGTCAGAACCCAATTACAGAAGAGGCAGAGGAGGGAGGAATAAGTTGTGGTTTTGTCCCATGCTACAAACAGGACACAAGATGAGAGGAAAGGAACAGAACTAAGAAAAGGCAAACCGATCTCACATTACATCCAAAAATAAAGATGGTAAGTTAATAAATTGAGAGGCTGTCACAGGTGAATTATTAAGAGAAGTCATCGTTGTGGGATTAACCAAAAGGTTTTATTAAACAGTGATTAAATGATGATTAAACAATGATTAGACAGTGGTCAAACACTCTACTACTTACTACACTTCTAATAATTAAGCTAGCTTGTATACAGTATGTTTTAGATCTAATATAAAATGTCATTTACCTCGCTGTAGATATCGGATGCCAGGTAAGGGATCTCTCGACCTCGAGGACTAACCTTGAGAGACGTCAAGGGGAGATCACCACCGTGCAGCCCGCTGCTCTGCAGGAGAGCTCAACAGGCTGTGCTGGCTGCAGATATTTATAACGTAAAGTGACTGACTTGTAGTCAAACTCCCCTTCAGTGTACATGCAACTGTGCAACCCCAGCAGCTGTAGTTTCACCTGGTCCCAGCTCAGGCTGGTACTGTTAGCTCCTGGTAAGACACGACCCGAATTCCCTAAGTTCCTGAGAAGATTCGGCCTAGCACAATTTCTCAAGGTTTGTACAACAGGGCTGACCACTCAGGCCTACTTGTTGGTGATGCCTGAACCAAAGGACTGTTAATTCAGTCAGAGTGGGTGCACCCGTCACAGCATGACACCCCTACAGCTCTCTATATAAGAAGCTCACCCTCTCCACAATAGGCTATAGCCAGTCCTGTAACTTCCTTTTATTCTCATCTGATGCATTCACAGCCCGTTCGTATCTAAAAACACCACCAAAAAAAAAGTAAAGTAACCATCCCTTCCTTACCTACACAAGTGATTTTAGTACTGGGTTTGGTAACCGCAATTTGATCTGCTCCTAAGAACAAGCCACAGCATTAAGCCTACATGCACAGATTTATTTTAACACTTATTTAACACTGTCCAAGCACTTGTTAAATACTTGATCTCTAACTATGTCAGCTATAACTAGTCTATTTATAAGCATCTCTTACATAAGCACAGAAAACTGTTTTGCTCAATAAGGTAATTATTGAGCAGCTATCAACTGTTTAGTTACATACACAGCAATTTTTTTTCAGGGAAGGTAGTTCACATTTTTGTATTCTAATAATCTACAGTGGTATTTCTGCACCTTGTGGCACGTTTACAAAGTTTATACACGACAATAAACCTACCACTTGCACAGACATAGCTACTTAAACCAGTATTTTCTTTGAAAAACATTGAGGATGATGGAAAACACATGCCAATAAGTAGTAAGGGGTGGGGCGGGGATAAATCTTAGCCTATTCTTGCTCGTGCTGTTCCCCAAGAAGTTACTCTCCACTGGTTCTTGTGTGATGAATACAGCACTGCTGGACTGTTGCCCTCACCTCTGGTGCGAGTGCAGAATGTGTTGTCTTGGGATGGCACCAGCCCTGAGCTCCCTCAGGGAAAGCTGTTTAGACTCGGACACCGAAAGGCACTGTACTCACTTCTTTTGAATTCATTCCTTGGGATCCTTCAGTGCTTCATCAAGACTCTCTCTGGCTCTACGCTTCGGTATGTTTTTGTTTCTCCAGTGTCTGCACCTCAGCTGCACCTTTTCCTTCTTCCTCTTCAACTTCCTAGAGAAAAACTTTTGTTCAAACTTAACTTAGCAAAGCATTTATTACACTAGAAGAGTGAGCCTCCTACTGGAGACATGACAGATTTTCTTTTATAAGGAAAAATTTCTTTATGACAAGAATTTTTCTTAAGGCAAAACCTGATGAAGGCACAAGAAACTTTTATTTCTCAAGCATGAGCAAAACTAGCTTAATCATTCACAACAATTTATGAAGGATGTAAGCTATTGTACAATTCAGAAGTAGTATTTAACAGGGCAAAACAAATGCACTCAGACCAAGGCCCATGTAGATTCAGTAGGACTTTAGCTGTCTTTGGGCTCAAAGACAGTAAAAAACATCGCGCTGATGTTTAGAGATTCTTTTTCTTACCAAAAAACAGAAGGTGTGGGAAACCTAGTACCCAGCGCCCAATTACAAGAGACATTTAAGAAATTCTAGAACTTGATGATGGAAAAAATAAAATAAGGAACAATAC